TGAACCTGCCGGCAGCCGCTCAGCCTCGTGTCCTGCACCCAGGGCCGTGTCTGCTGCCAGGCTGGGGGCAGAGCGCCCCCCTGCCCCACGTGCTCCCTCCTGCCGTGGCCCTGGGAGGGAGGCTGGTTTTAAACACCATTGGGGGTCAAGTGAGGGGGAGTCGCCACATGTTCCCTTAACTCCCCGGCCCAGCTATGAAAAGTGGAAGCAGAAATATAAGGTTGATGAGCGGGACGAGGAAGAGGAAGAAGAAAGAGGGGGCGAGCAGATCAGAGGGAAGCACAAACGAGGGCACAGTGAGTACCTGAACAAGTGATGGAGCCCTGCATAATCCCCTCTGTCACCTGGATACTTCACCCTGGCCTCCCGAGCATTGATTTATCTCTGAACTTGGCTCTTCATCCGTCCTGCAGGGAACCGGCCTCCCCCAGCCCAGGGCAAGGTGCGCTCAGAGCTGAAGAACAAGCAGCAAATCTTGAAGCAGCGCAAAGCTGCGGCCAAGCAGCGCTTCCTGCAACGCGGTGGCCTCAAGCGCCTGAAGGCCAGGAACCGGCAGCGGGTGCAGGAGCTGCGGCAGATGGCTTTTGGGCGCCGGGCAGGCACCACCAAGAAGGGCAAGCTCCGGAAGAGGATGTAGGAGATGGGGCCATGCCTTGCACCAAAGGGAAGGGCTGGGCTTCCCCCAAGCCTGGACTTGGCATCAGGGAAGGAGACATTAAATATCTGGCTGGTTTTGGATCCTGCCTCCGCTTTGGCCTTGTCACAGGCATCTTGCTGAGGAATAAGAGACTTGCGTGCTGGCTCCTGGGGGCCATGCTGGAGGGGGAAATCACGTGCCAGACTCTAGCACCAGTCCTGCCACGGCTTTTGGTACCTTCCCTCTCACTCCCCCAACCCTTCAAGCACTGCCAGGCCCCTTTCCACCACCTGCCCTCTGTCTGCACCAGTTCCTGCACCTCCTGCCTCCTCTTCCTCCCAGCTCTGTCCTGCTGGCATGGGCTGGCACCGTTCCCCCTGCACACACACTTCTTGGTGCAGGGACACAGCTCTTCCGCCGTGGCCGCGGCAAATCCTGCCCTGCTGCTCTTGGTGCTTGGGGAATTCCTCCCGCTTTGGGCTACCCCCCGGCGCAATCCTAAAACAACCGGGCACTCTAGGCCCAGCAGCTGGGCTATATTTTGACAGGAGACAGCTTTAGCCGATACCAACAGCATGAACGTGAGTGACAGCTTCCCCCTTCCTCCTCTCGGCCCCAGGTCCTGCTGCCTCCGTGCAGCCATCCCAGGGTTGGCCCCGGGGCGCTCTCTTCCTCCCAGGCCCTGACTCCAATGGGTGCCATCGCAGTGCTCCATAGCTGCCTGTCCCACTGCCATCTGCATCACCTCTCAGCATCGAGGGGTTCCCAGGTGCGTTGGAGACGGGGAGCCACCTCCGTCCCTGGCTGTTCGTTCCCTAGGAGTCCTGGCCCGGATGAGCCAAGGCAGCTTCTCCCCTGCCCCGGTGCGGGCGGCTGCTCTCCGAGCAGGGGGTTGTTCCTGGCTCGGAGGCAGTGGTGGGTGCTCGCTGGCGGCAGCGGGCTCCCTGGGGCACAGCTCAGCACGGATGGCAGCCAGGTCCTGCATGCAGAGCAGCACCTGGCAGAGAGGGGGGGGGCCTTAGCGCCACGCTGGCCAGGGACACGTGTCCCTGATCCCACCCCAGCCACCTGGGGGAAGAGGCTGTGCTGACCGTGTCCAGTTGGGCCTCCGTGTCCTCCAGGGCCACATCTGCCGGGACCTTGAGCTGCTTGGTGGCCAGCTGGAAGAGGTTGAGCACTGCCATCCGGATCTGCGCAAGCAGCAGGGTCTTCTGGGCGGCCGTGGTCTGGATGTGGGTCCAGCGGGACTCCTGGTGCAGAGCAGGAGGGAGCTCCGGGGACCACCGTGGCCACTGCCCTGGGGGGACCTTGGCCTGTCCCCCAGCTCCAGGCTAGGTTGGGGACCCTGTGCCCTCCTCTGTCCCCCAGGCACACGGGGCAGCAGCACCCCCGCTCG